TCCCACAAGCCTCCAAATATCAAAGACCAAATCAAATCTAAATTGCTTACAAATTTCCCACTGGGAGTGCAGGATTGCTGAATTTATTCTTCCATACTGCATTCTTTCTAAAAATGTGAATCAGACTGAAGCTACAAGTGGCAGTGGTTCAACTATCCTCTTTGCTTTCTGCTTTCACCATACGAATCTTTTGAACTCGTTCTCACTGGCTTTGTACTTGAGCAATGCATGTGGATTCCCTGCACAGCAGTCAAAGCAGCAAGTACCGGTACCAGATCTTTCATAAACTAAATCAAATTGTAATCTGGACGCAGCAATTTTTTTTAGTGTTTCTGTTTTTTTTTTACTGGACTGATTCAGTTAATTCAGTCAGACTGTCTGTCTGTGTGGAGTTTGCACATTCTCCCCGTGTCTGCGTGGGTTTCCTCCGGGTGTTCTGGTTTCCTCCCACAGTCCAAAGATGTGCAGGCTAGGTGGATTGGCCATGCTAAATTGCCTCATAGTGTTCAGGGATATGTAGATTAGGTGGGTTTAGGGGGATGGGTCTGGGTGGGATGCTTTGAGGGTCAGTGTGGATTTGTTGGGCTGAAGGGCCTGTTTCCACATCATAGGGATTCTATGATTAATGGGTTCTCACTCGAAAGGGTGCAGAAAAGATTTACAAGGATGCTGCCAGGGTTGGATGATTAGAGCTATAGGGAGAGATGAATAGGCTGGGGCGATTTTCCCTGGAGCGTCAGAGGCTGAGGGGTGACTTTATGGAGGTTAATAAAATCATGAAGGGCATGGATAGCCAAAGTCTTTTCCCCAGGGTGGGGGAGTCCAAAACTAGAGGGCATAGGTTTAAGGTGAGAGGGGAAAGATTTAAAGAAGGACCTAAAGGGCAACTTTTTCACACAGTGTTGCGTGAATGGAATGAGCTGCCAGAGGAAGTGGTGGAGGCTGGTACAATTACAACATTTAAAAGGCATCTGGATGGGTACATGAAGAGAAAGAGTTCAGAGGGATATGGGCCAAATGTTGGCAAACGGGACTAGATTAACTTAGGATATCTGGTGGGCATGGACGAGTTGGACCAAAGGGTCTGTTTCTGTGCTGTACAGCTCTATGACTGAAAGCAGAAGACTGCATTTCAGTAAGTCTGTACATCAGAGCGCTGAATTATGTACTCCACTTTAAAATGGAGACTTGCATTTTTGCAAACTTGGCAACATGATTAAATCCTTTCCTTCTATCAGTAGCAATCTACTCACAAATCAGAATTGAAAATCTGTGTGGCTAACAGTGTTGGAATTGAACTATTGAGGGTGTTACCATCAGGGGTCACAAACCAAGAGTGATGGAAAACTGTGATGAATGAAGTACTTGAATGCTACACCGGGCATAATTCCATTCTTCCAAGGCAGGGTAGGGGAGGGGAGTGGCATGGTGGCTCAGTGGTTAGCACTGCTGCCCCAAAGCACCAGGGACTTGGGTTCGATTCCACCCTTGGGCGACTGTCTATGTGGAGTTTGTACATTTTCCCCATGTCTGTGTGGGTTGCCTCCGGGTGCTCCAGTTTCCTCCCATAGTCCAAAGATGTGCAGGTTAGGTGGATTAGCCATGCTAAATTGTCCCATAGTGTTCAGGGATGTGTTGATTAGGTGGGTTATGGGTTATGGGTTATGGGGGATAGGTCTGGGTGAGATGCTCTGAGGGTCAGTGTGGACTTGTTGGGCCAAAGGGCCTGTTTGCACACTGTAAAATTCTGTGATTCTAATACAAGAATTTGAATAAATTCAAGCATGTAAAATTCAGGACATAGCAAAGTAGCCCCACTCCTTGCATGGTTCAGTCATAGAATCATAGAAAGTTAATGGCACAGAAAGTTGCAATTTGGGCTGCTGTATCTGCACTGGAGAAGAAAAAAGAACAAGCCACTGAGCTGAATCATAACTTCCAGCATCTAATCCATCACTCTGTAGGTTATCACTCTTGAGGTGCATATCTATCTGTTCTGGGTCCTCCTCTATTTGTGATTTTTGTAAATGATTTGGATGAAGGAATGGAAGGGTGGATTAGCAAGTTCACAGACGATACAAAGTTGGGTCAAGTTGTGGACAGTGCAGATGGCTGTTCTAGGTTACAAAGGGACATTGATAGAAAGCAGAGCTGGGCTGAGAGGCGGCAGATGGAGTTTAACCCTGAAAAGTGTGAGGTGATTCATTTTGGAAGGACAAACTTGAAAGCAGAATACAGGGTTAACGGAAAGATTCTTGGCAGTGTGGAGGAGCAGAGGGATCTTGGGGTTCATATTCACAGTTCCCTGAGAGCTGCCACCTAGGTGGATAGAGTTGTTAAGAAGGCGTATGGTGTGTCAGCTTTCGTTAATAGAGGGATTGAGTTCAACAGTCATGAAGTTATGCTCCAGCTATACAAATGCCTGGTTCGGCCACATCTGGACTATTGTGTCCAGTTCTGGTCACCTCATTACAGGAAAGATGTGGAAGCGTTAGAAACGGTGCAGAGGAGATTTACCAGAATGTTGCCTGGAATGGAGGGAAGGTCTTACGAGGAAAGGTTGAGAGAGCTAGGGCTTTTCTCTTTAGAATGATGAAGGATGAGAGGTGACTTGATAGAGGTGTACAAAATGATCAGAGGTATAGATAGAGTGGATAGCCAGAGACTTTTTCCGAGGGTGGAGGTAGCTTATACGAGGGGACATCGTTTTAAAGTGAAAGGAGGTAGATATCGGGGAGACGTCAGAGGTAGGTTCTTTACTCAGAGAGTGGTAGGGGCGTGGAATGCATTGCCGGAGAGGGTAGTGGAGTTGGCCTCATTCGGGGCAATTAAGCGGCTATTAGATAGGCATATGGATGATTGTATAAAGTAGCGGTGGAGGTTAGATAGACCTTAGGTTTAGGGTAAAAGTTCGGCACAACATTGTGGGCCGAAGGGCCTGTACTGTGCTGTACTGTTCTGTGTTCTATGTTCAATTTAAAGTTATTTGAAGTATTCTACCTCCACTGCCCTTTCAGGCAGTGACTTCCAGACCTGGCCACCAATGAGATAACAAAGAAAAAGCCTTCTTCATCTCCTTTCTAACATTTCTACCCATCTCTTCAAATCTATGGCCCCTACTCACTCTGCTAAGGTAAATAGGCCATTCTGATGCATTCTACCTCAATCCCACACAATTTTGTAGAACTCAATCAAATCTTCCCTCAGCTTCCTTTTTTGTAAAGACAACAACTCCAGCTTCTCCAGTCTCTCCTCATCGCTGCATAGTTCCAGTCCGAGCAACAGCCTCCAAAATCTTCTCTGGTACCCTCTCTAGAACTCTGTGTTGCTCTCCCCTCCTCCTGCTTGAATATAGTTCAGTGCTATAAAGTGGTAATATTTAGTTTGTATTTTTAATACAATTATAATTCATCATATTCTGTCCATTAATTCCTATTACCTGCTGATACTGTTTGTTTATTTTTGCGACGATATGATTGTCATGTGTTTGCGTATTTTAAAGCTGATTGTTTCATAGAATCCCTACAATGTGAAAGCAGGCTATTTGGCCCATCGAGTCCACATTGACCCTCTGTAAAGCAACCCAATCAGACCCACTACTCTATACTATACCTGATGTGGAGATGCCAGTGTTGGACTGGGGTGGACTAAGTTGGAAGTCACACAAAATCAGGTTATAGTCCAACAGGTTTATTTCAAATTGCAAGCTTCTGGAGTGCTGCTCCTTTGTCAGGTGAAGCCTCTTCACCTATCCTTCCCCTATCCCAGGAGCTCTGCATTTCCCATGGCCAATCCACCTAATTTACACACCCCTGGACATTACAGGCAATTTAGCATGGCCAATCCACCTAACCTGCACATCTTTGGACTGTAGGAGGAAACTGGAGCACCCGAAGAAAACCAATGCAGACACAGGGAGAATTTTCAAACTCCACACAGACAGTCACCCGAGGGTGGAATCAAATCCAGGTCCTTGGTGCTGTGCAGCAACAGTGCTAACCAGTGAGCCACTGTGCCACTCATATTGCTCCATTTAAGAATTTTACAATGCAAGTTGCATTTCTAGTCAGCCTTCAGGCACAACTTTCTTACTTTATCGTGGTATTACGTACAATCTCACCAAAATCTTAGGAGCCCATTAGACCTGAAACTGCCCATCTCCTGATCATTCAGTGTGATGATACATTCAGTTGAGAGCAGTGTAATTCTTTTTTTAGCAAAGCAGTACACAATCAGCATCCAATGTCAAGGCTGTCTTCACGGGGTCGGAATTTCGAGGTGATATCAGAAATGCATCGAAGATTTTGTTCATCTGAAAAATCTAGCAAAGGCTTTTCTTCTGGAGGAAGCAGAAACAAGAGGAATTAAAAACTGAAGTTGCTGGAGGAACTCAGCAGGTCCGGCAGCACCTTCTGAGGGTAAAACTGATTAAACGTTTCAAGTCCGGGATGAGGCTTCTTCAGAATTCTTCCATTCAGATGCTGAGGAATGCAAACTCCAAGAATTCACAGGTACGGTCACCACTCTGGATTCTTTCTCCCCTTCCCTTCCCTCCAATGCCATCCTTTCTTCTAACCCGATTTCAGATGGAATTCTGAAGAAGGGTCATTTCGGAGACTCAAACCAATAACTTTGCTTCTCTTCCCACAGATGAGTCATCGATGTCTACAGCACAGAAAGAGGCCCTTCAGCCTATCAAGTCTGTGCTGATCAAAAACAAGCACTGAGCTCTTCTAATCTCATGTTGCCTGACCTGCTGAATTTCTCCAAAGCTTTCTGTTTTCATTTCAGATTTCAGTCCCACATTGTGCTTTTATAGGAATAAGAGGCAATAGTCAAAAGCGATCTTTTGATGTCACCGCACAACAATTATCAAATGAATTCTTAACTTCTGTGTAAGCAAGGGGTAGTGCCAAGTGGGAAAATCATTTCTGAATCTTTATCTGTACAAATTGACCATGACTTTTCCTCCTCATGCACGGACCAATTGTTCCACTCACCGCTAATCCACTTGGCTTCCACATCATGAATCCGGAATTCCTCGCTGAAGAGATCATCAATTCTCACCTTCGCCTTCAATGCCAGGCTGTTGTCTTCAGCTGCAGACACGTACAAAAAGATGAAGAACAATTAGATTTTGTTATAACATTGTAAGGCAGAAAGAATCAGGCTACATCTGAATTTTTTTCACTTCTTTCATTCCAAATTGGGTCAAAAGTTCCATGTGTGAAGATGGTGGACTATGCTGAAAGCTTAAGTATGAGGAAATGCATCAACTCACTCCCACAAAAGTCTATAGTGGCTTGTTAGTTTCAAAATTTGAAGCATTAACAATTTTACCATAATTAACGAAAGCCAACAAACAATGAAAGTTTTTCAGTATGCAACTTGTACTTAGGTGAATTACAGAAAAGGCAGCCCATTTAACTTCTAAAGTGTCTGAACATCCCCCTGCATGGTTATTCTTTATTATAACCCTTAAATGGATACTTGATTTCCTAAGAATCAGTCCAAAACTCTCTTCAACTATCACAAGCATGTTTCTTCCTTCCTTTCCCAGTTAAATTAACTTCTGGTCCCCGAATTGATATTTGCAGTGGGGGCTACCCTGCAGATAGCTCCCTCTAGTCAAAGCTAGGCAAATCTTCCAGCCTCATCAAAACCTTCAGGAACTTGGTCTTTCCAATCTGACTGTGAGTCCACATCCACATTCCACATGGTGAACAATACAGCATAGCTGCCTCTATCTACCTGCTGTCTTTGATCCTTGCAGATTGACTTTTAATGAGATTCATAGATGTCTTCCTAAAACCCAATACTAGAGTGACTTGGAATGGACACTTCCCTCCTCAAACATCATCGCTATGGCAAGGTATTTTTTCCACGTAGAACTGCTGTTTAAGTCTCCTCTAAAGAATACATAACTCCGTTGTAGATTGGAAATAATTAGAAAAGTACAACCATCACTCCGAACATCTTGCTATGAAACCTGTTCAATGAAATGATTACCCATTCTTTGCATGGAGCTAATCTGGTCACTTGTTTATTGATGGAAAGATTTTGCAATGTCTACTCAGTAAATCAGTCTGGGCCTTGTTGTCCCCATAGCAGCCAAGCCACTCAGAGCTGGTGGTAGATTGAGGCCTCAAATAGGCTTATAACTGACCTCTTAAGGGTCTTCATTGGTGTTGGGAAGAAGAGCTTGCCCATGGACCTTTTTGCCCAGAACTTAATTGATGAGGTCGCAAGAAAGGCATGAAAAGCTGTCTGATGCCAAATTCCCCAAATATTTGCCCTCCCCACTATCTCCCTCACCATCTCTAGAGAGGTGAATATCATGCCCTTTAAAGTATCTAACACTTAAGCCTTCTTGAATGACTATTACAATGCTTTATAATTGGTGAGTCATGAGCTCTATGAAAATCTTTTTGCTTGGGTTATTCCCATATTATTTAAGAAAATGTGTTAGGCTTTCATGGACCCTTTCTGGGATTTATTACAAGTTTGTACAACTTATAAAGTTGCTTGTCACAAATATTGCGGTGTTGATGACATTCAATCACAGCTCATATGTTTCTCAATGGCATTCTCCTGTCTTCTCCACATAATTCTTCATCCCCTTACTAATCAAAAACCTATCTATCTCGTACTTACTTGACTTAATGACTTGGCCTCCACAACCATCTGTGGAAATCAGTTTCACAGAGTCACCACCCTCTGGCTGAAGAAATTCCTCCTTATCTCATCTCTAAATGGTTGTCCCTTCACTCTGAGGCTGTACTTTTGGGTCCTAGTCTCTCCTACTCGTGGAAACATCTTCTCCACATCTACTCTATCCAGGCCTTTCAATATTCCATAAGTTTCACTGAGATTCCTCCTCATCCTTCTAAACTCCATTGAGTACAGACCCAGAGTCCTCAACTATTCCTGGTATGACAAGCCCTTCATCCCCAGCATCATTCTTGTAAATCTCTTCTAGGCACCCTCCAAAGCGAGCACATCTTTTCGAAGATATGGGGCCCAAAACTGCTCACAATATTCCCAATGCAGTCTGACCAGAGCCTTATATAGTCTCAGCAGTAGATCTCTGCACTTATATTCTCGTCCTCTTGAAATTAATGCCAACATTACAATTGCCTTCCTAACTGCCAATTGAACCTGCATGTTAGTCTTAAGAGAATTCTGAACTAGAACTCCTCAGTCCCTTTGTGTTTCAGATTTCTAAAGCCTTTCCCCATTTAGAAAACAGTCTATGCCTCTATCCTTCTAAACAACATGCATAACTCACTCCCATATTGTATTCCATCTGCTACCTCTTTGCCCACTCTCCTAGCCTGTCCAAGTCCCTCTGCTTTCTCAATACTACCTGTATAGCGTGAATAGTTGTGTTCCCAACACAGACCACTGCGAAACTCCATTAGTCACCAGCGGCCATTTTCTCCCCACTATCTGCCTTCTGCCAGACAGACAATCCTCTATCCATGCCAGTACCTCGCTCCAAACACCATAGTCACTTATCTTATTGAGCATCCTCCTCTGTGGCACCTTGACACAGGCATTCTAGAAACCCAAATACATTACAATCATTGGCTCTCTTTTGTCTAACTTCCTTGTTACCTGCTCAAAGAATTCTCCCTCACAAGTACCGTTGATTCAGCCCTATTTTAACATTCACTTCCAAGTACTCTGCAATCTCATCCTTAATAATTGACTCTAATATCTTATCAATGACCAAGGTCAGGCTAAGCGGCCTATAATTTTCTGACTTCTGCCTCCCTCCCTTCTTAATTAGGGATGTTGTATTAACCATTTTCCAGTAGTCTGGGACCCTCCCTGACTCCAGTGATTCCTGAAAGATCACCACCAATGCTTCCACGATCTCCTCTGCTATCTCCTTCAGAACTCTTGGGGCAGTCCATCGCTCTGAGTGATTTACCTCCCATCAGACATTTCAAGCTCCCTTGCACCTTCTCTTTAGTGATCGCCACTACACTCCCCTCTGTTCCCTGACTCTCTCGAAGGTCTGGTATGTTGCTGGTGTCTTCCACTGTGAAAAATGATGCAAAGTACCCATTCAATTTCTCTGCCATTTCTTTGTTCCCCATTTCTACTTCTCCAGCCTCATTTTCCAGCGGTCCAATATCTTGCCTCTCTCTTACTTTTTATATACCTAAAAAAACTCTTGCCATTTTCTTATATATTACTAGCCAGCTTCCCCTCATATTTCATCTTCTCCCCCTTTTGCATTTTTAGTTTTCCTGTGCTGGTTGTTAAAGGCTTCCCAATCCTATGCTTACCACTAAGCTTTACCACATTGCATGTATTCTCTTTTATTTTTATGCTTTTCCTGACTTCTCTTGTCAGCCATGGTTGCCTCATCCTCCCTTTAGTATGTTTCTTCTTGCTTAGGATGAATTTCTGCTGTGCATCCCAAATTACCCATAGAAACCTCTGCCATTGCTGCTCTACTATCTTCCCTGCTAGGGTCCCCTTCCAATCAACTCTGGCCAGTTCCTCTCTCCTGTCTTTGTAGCTCCCTTTACTCAATTGTAATACCATTACATCTGATTCTATTCTTCTCCCTCTGAAAATGCAGGGTGAATCCTATCATAATATGGCCGCTACCTGTGGGGGAATCCTTCACCATAAGCTCCCTAATCAAGTCTGTCTTGCTAAACATCACCAAATCCAGAATTGCCTGTTCTCTAGTTGGGTCCAACACAAGCTGCTCCAAACAACCATCTCATAGACATTCCATGCATTCCTTTTTTGAGTTCTGCTGGCAACCTGATTCTCCCAGTCCACCTACATATTGAAGTTCCCCATGATCATTGTAATAGAGCCTTCCTTATATTTCCACATTGACACTGAGGTACAACTAGTTTAATATCCACTGCCCGGCATACATACAGCAAACATGCATTAACTCTGAGGATTGGCCCAGCATCTCCAGAAATTAAGGATCAACCTCCAGGACACTGCTGTGAGTAATTCAGGAAGAAAACCTTGGGGCAGGAAACAAAATTGTGCTTTTATTTTCCTTGGGCTGAAAATTGACAAATAACATTTGTGCCACACAAACACTAGCCAATGACCATCTCCAACAAGAGGTAATCTAATGACTGTTCATTGATAGTCAGTGCAGTACTGTCACTTAATTCCCCAGTATCAACATCCTGGGGGCTTACCATCGACCAGAAACTGAACTGGACTCGTCACATAAATGCAGTGGTGTCAGAAGTAGGTCAGAAGCTAGGAATACTGTAGCACCTCCTGACTCCCCAACACCTGTCCACTACTCACAAGTCACAAGTCAGGAGTATGATGCTCAGTAGCAGCACTGTGTGCACCATCTGCAAGATGCACTGTAGAAATTCACCAAAGATCCTTGGATAGAACCTTCCAAACCATAACTGCTGCCATACAGAAGGACAAGGGCAGCAGATATATTGGACAGCACCACCTATAAGTTTCCCTCCAAGGCACTCACCATCCTGACCTGGAAATATATCACTACCGTTCCTTAGTGTCATTGTGATTTAAGGACTGTTACAATTGTGGCAAATAGGAACCATCGAATTTTAACTCCTATCATCTGATTGCTATACCTGACACCTTTTGAATCTTTTAAAAATGATGAGACATGGGCCTAAAATATCCACAGCAGTCTCCTGGCCACATGTTGGGCCAAGCTTTGGAACCCTGATATGGAATAAAATAAACTGTTTACATTTAGGCTTCCATTTTATCCAAAGATATCAGAACCAGGTGATTGAGTTAGTTTAAAGAAATTTACATCTCCTGGATCAGATAAACATGTAATGAAAATTTCACATATTGGGAGATGAAAGACAGTTCGCAGATTGGAAGGACAATGAAGCTAGACTCGGGAATACATACTGAACTAAATTTCACCAACTATTTTTGAGCAGCTGAGCAGAGAGAAGGAAATATAAATTTGGAACAAGAGCAGGAATTCTCTCTCTCTGCTTGCCTGCTTCTCTCATCAGTTCACAATAAAGAGCCTATTGAAAAGCAAATTGGAAAAGCATTCATCGAGGATGCAAACATATCTGCAAATTCTGCAACTGCAGAGGAT